TTCCAAGCCTTGAACTGATGATTTCTCATCAAACACGAATTTTTGTTAGTAGCTTTTACATAAACTTAATATCAAAATGCTGATTACTGTCCTGTAATTCAAGATCTGTTCTGATTTTTGAAGGAATTACTGTGAATTAGTTTCTTTTATATTGTAGAAAATTTCTTTTATCGATCTAGCAAGAATTTAGAATGGAAGGAGAGAATGTGTTGTATATGTTTATATTAAGCTATATACAAATTATGCGTAAGTATGTAGCATAAATTTTGCCTCTTTTTCTGTTATTTTCAGTTTGACTTAATTTATTGAATCAATAATGATCTGTGACAAGAAGATGAAATCATGCTCTTACAGTCATACATATGCTACTGTACTAAAATTTAAAAGGGAAACATTTCACCATTTGGAACATGATGATCCAACATGGCTTGTTATGCATATATTGGCAGTTTGCAATTTCATGTAACTTTTCTTGGATTGATGAAAGGTCCAAGCACACATAGTGAAGAGTTCAAGCTGTAGGCTGAGATATTTTAATTATTTCATAGCCATGTTCGCGTTGTTGTTTAGAACCTAATTATTTTATGAATTCACAACTCTGATAAGAGATGAAGAGGTTTAAACATGGAATACATACTTCCATTACATTAAAACACGGTTAAACATAGACATTAATACAAATAGAACAGAGAGAAAAACTCTTCTAGACATCATTCTTAATGGCAGAACTGTATCCATTTTGATCATCATAGTACTTAGACCACAGCATCACCCCTCCATACCAGGCGGAACCTTTGATGGCAGGAAGTACTTGAGAAGTAAGATCTGATACAGGGATAAAGCCACTACCAGCTGCCTCAGGTGATGCAGGAAGTCCTAAGAAAATTTTGGCAGCAGGAACATCTGTAGTCCATCGTTTCCATGCATCTTCTAGATTTGCAATATCACCGGCTGTGTATTAGCATTGAGTGTTGTTATATAGTTGTACCCAAACATAGTAAAAAAGGACAGTCTTAAGGGCACCCCCAACCCAAGCATCAGGGAATAGACACTGAGGAGCTGTTGCCAGGTATATCTGGAGAGGTACCTTGAAAGATCATCCCAATGGTGGTTTCTTCCACCTTCAATATCAAAATCAATTCCATCCAAGACTGCATCACCTAATGGCAGAGAGGACGATTGTCCCCCCAAGAAATTGTTCCACAAATAGGTCGAAAGTCGCAAACTGTCTAGCATCCATGGATGAGCCAAGGTAGTAGCATCCTGCTCCTCCTCCAAGAGAAAGCATTACTTTAATTCCTTTTACTTGACATGATTTGATGTCAGAGATTAAACTAGCTAGTGCATCCATTGCTGTAAGGATCAAAATGACCATCAAGGTTGATCATGGGAGTCTGACCATTTCCGAATGTTGGAAGGAATGCTATGTCCACAAAGTCATAGATGCCTGTGGCACACGTCTTTGCCAATGTGCCTTCATTTCCATTCTGACCTCAGTAGATTGCAATGCCACCGGCTTCTATACCCACAACTAGCGTCAGAATCACTGAGCTGATGAATGTAAGTGAGACTACATACTTAATTGCCATCTTTCTTTGCTGGTTTGCAAGTGTTTGAATTGTTTTTGGTGCTTAAAATGTTAACAGATGCATACCTTTTATAAGTTATGAGGGCTACATTCTGTCTTCATGGGGAATAGATACAGATGCTTTGTTCCAATAGTTTCTGGACTAAATTTGATGGATGTACATTAAGGCAGATGGCTTTTCAGGAACTAAACAATTTTTCTAATCTTTGAATGACTGCTCAAAAATGCATGACATGATAATTTTTTAGGCATTGTTTGTATTCTGGTAGCATATCATTGTTTCTTTTTGCTTGAAATGCTTGTTTCTGATGAGTGATGCTGATGACCATTGTACATGACACATTACGGAAAAAATGACAAAAGCAAGAAATACAAGAGCCTAAGAATCTGTAAATCATAACATATTAGATTAGGTTAACTTATGCCAAAGGTTCCTATACTTTGTGAAAATTTAAAATTTAATCATTGTACTATAATTCAAACTAATTTAATTAACGTATTATTTTGATTTGATAATATTAATTAAATTATTAATTCTATCAATTTTTTGTCATTGAAAATATTGATGTGATCATTTGACTTTGTTAACATGACATTGGCTTTACTGACAAGATATTGATTTGTTGATGTGACAATTATGATTAATAAAATCAGTTATTAAATTATACAAATGATCTTGTACTCATACGAAATTTGAAATTTAATCCTTATACTTACACGGATTTAAAATTTAGTCCTTATACTTCCACAAAATTTAAAATTTAATCTATCTAATACAAAAAATATTTTGAATTTTTAGAAATTTTTAATTTTTTAAAATATTCAATTTTAAAAATTACCATAATATTCTCTCATAATATTCTATCACAATATTGAAAAACCTATCACAATATTCTATCATAACTTTTTTTATCCATGTGAAATATTGTTGATAGTTTTGTCACTATTTCTTATTATATTCCATCATAAAATATAAATCTTTTATTAATTTTGTCACACTTTTCTATCTTAATTGTAATATATTGTCCCCATATGAAAAAAAAAATCTCACACCAATCTATTAAAAATCTATTACAAATTTGTCAATATATAATACAAATATGTCACTATCTAATTTTAATAACATTATTATTTTTAATTAATTTATTAAAATGAATTTGAATTATAATTATATCCCATAAAGACAAAATTATCTATCAAACAATATTTCTATTCTTTTAAATTAAATCCTATTTAAATGATTTTTTATACTCAAATCTAGTTCAAGATTTTAAATACATTAAAATAATTTATTAAACTTAATGTGTATTGGTTTTAAATTTTGTCTTTTTATTTAATTTAACATAATAATTTAGATACTTTTTTTCTTTTTTGTGAAGACCAAAAAAATCGAAAGTTTTTATTATGATATATGTTATTGATGTTTTAGTTTATAAAATAAATCATTTTCTCCTTTTATTTTGTTCATATTCAAAGTTCGTCTTTCAAATAAATAAGAGTTTGTCCCTAGTAAGAATCTAAATTTGAATATTTTATTTTATTTGGTTGGATGGAATACTCATCTCATTCATAGTCTATTCTATAGTTTACTTCATTACAAATTTTAGTATATGATGTATTTAAATTAATTAAAATAATATTAACTTTGATATATGAATTTAAATTATTAATATTATAATTGATTAATATAAAATGATAATAATAATATTATTAATATGATATTATTAATAATTAATTGTATATAATAAAAATTGATATATTTCAAAAAATATATTTTTAAAATTCAATATGTTTGAAAAACTAAAAAAATTTTAAAAATATTAAAATATTTTTATATTAAAAGAATTAAATTTTAAATTTTGTGCGAATATATCAATTTAATTTCAAATTTTATATGACTACAGGAACAAACTTTCCAATTTCATATGAGTACATAAATTATTTGTTCAAATTATCATATCAATAAGTCAACATCATATCAACAAAGTCAGCATTTACATTATCCAATTAACGATCTCGTTAATATTTTTAATTGTAAAAAGTTAACAGAATTAGTGATTGAATTAAAATCATCAAATTAAAATAATATGTGAACTATATTTGTATAAACTATAACATAGAGATTAATTTCTGCATTTTCATAAAATATAAGGACCTCTAGCACAATTTAACCATTAGATAATGATTGTTAAATCAGCCAATATATATCGGATCTTTACTGTTGATTGGTATTGCCAGTTTGTCAGATTAGGCAGAAATACAAATTAATTTTTAGAATTTGGCATTTAAAATGATAAAATTTAAGGGTTTCTTTTCATGTGATTGAATTTTATAACTGACTCTTGTTTTGGTAAGTTTACAGAGCAATGTATACAGTAATCCATTGTCTGTATACAACTCAAAATTATCAGACATGACAAAAAGAAATATTAAGGTGTAAGAATAGGAATCATTGTAAAAACATAAATATATAATTAATTAAATTTAATAATTTTAAATATGATATGATGATATAATAAAATAAATAAAAATTATATAATTTAAAATTTTTATAAAAGTTATATATAAATTTATTAAAATTAAAATATATTTTTAATATTTAATGCGATGAGATAAATTACAATATAATTTTTGCCTTTAACTCTCCATTTCTTGATGGATATAAAAAAAAAATAATTATTTTCCCATTTTATTGTCTAAACTTTATCAATGTAGATTAGGACAGAAACATAATTAGATTTAACAGTCTAATTCGAAATCGACGGTTTTGATTCGATCCAATTTTATAGGATAGATTTTTTTTAAGAAAATTAAATTTCACGTTCGGATCGGGTTCGAGTTTTAGACAAATTCAATCCGACCTAATCTGATATTATATAAAAAATTTATTTTTTAAATTATTTATATATTTATATTTTAAAAATAATATTTTATATTTTAAAAAATAATATTTTATTAATTTCGAACCGAATTGAATCGGATATGATTTATATAATATCGAATTTAGGTTCAGATTAAAAAAATTAAAAAGATTTCGAATATGATACGAATACGAATTTTATGATTATAAATCAAGTCGGATCGGGGTAAAAAAACCTGCCCGACCCGACCCGTTGCCATCCTGAACATAACTGTCTGCGGCTTAGATCTGTCAGGGGAGAACACTTGGTGAGTTCAAAATAGAAATCTACCAAGAACATTGTTCGATAAGTAAGCGCCGCCGAGTTACTCTCTTTCTATTGATTTCTAGAATTCTTGGTCCTAACCATGTGGCCACGTGTCACAAAGCTACTTCTTCTCAAAAACCCTAAACCCTTCAGCCACTCTATATCAAACCCCAGGCCAAAACCCTGCAAAGATCAGCCTCCAATTTCCATCTCCCAAAACCTCCAAATAAGTCTTCTTTGCATCAATGGCAACAACAGCAGCTGTTGCAAGAAATCTGCTGAAAAGCAGCAAGTCCTTGCCCCAGATTCTCCGTGGCCAAATCCTTGGTCGGCCCAATGTTATTGATAATCTTAATAACATTGCTAAAGATCATCAAATTGTTCAATCTTTGTTTGTTTCTGACCAAAAGATACATGCCCAAATACCCATCTTTGATTTTGCTGATATGGGTTCTCTTCTTGGGTCTTCTGGAGGGCTGAGCCTGGTGGAGAAAAGAATTGGCCATGGGATGCAAGGTGTCGTCGTCGAGGCTCGTGGGACACGCATGGTGAAGGATGATGATGATGATTATGATGATGAGTTTGATGTGGATGATGATTATTATGATGACGATGACGATGACGACGACGACGACGACGACGACGACGACGACGATGATGATGGTGAGTTTGATGATGAGTTTGATGATGGCATATACAAGAAGAAATTTTGATGATTTTGATGGTGATGACAAATTTTATAAGAGAAAAAATTCTATTAATTGTCAAAATGCTAGCTTTTCTGTTTCACTTTGTTATTTCTCGTTGTTATTGTGGTTAAAACTGTGACCTTGTTTCTTAATGCACTTTTTCAATTTTATATACAATAGTTTCTCCTCTGTCTCTAATTAAGTGATTTTGATGTTTGGAGCCTATCGCTAGCTTTTCTGTTTCACTCTGTTATTTCTCCTTGTTATTGTGGTTCAAACTGTGACCTTGTTTCTTAATGCACTTTTCCAATTTTATATACAATAGTTTCTCCTCTTTGTCTCTAATTATGTGATTTTGATGTTTGGAGCCTATTTGAAATAATGAAGCTTAACAGTGTAACAAAAATGTATCTGTTATCTACCTTCAAAATCTGATTTTTGGTTATGCAAATAAGTCATTTATGTCAATCATTGTTATGTTTGAAAAGTTTGTAATTTGATCTCAAGGATACTTCACTGTTCCTTAATGGCTTGAAGAAATTGGTGTTGGAAACCTGTAATCAGGGAATTATTTGTTTATACAATCTGAATTCTAGTAAAGGGTGCAAAAGCAAAATAAGATCTCTCTTATTGTCACTTTGGAACCCATTGAACAAAACTGAAGAGAATCGAGTTGAGTAAAATCAATTTGGATCAAAATCATACGTTGAGTCTCTAAAAACTGCAATAGGAAAAGGAAATGGAGGAGCAGAGGGCTGAGAAACCACCATAATACTCTGTTCTCATCTAAATTGGTTGGATTACTCAAATAGGTAAATTAGAGGCCTGAGGAAACATAATAACAAGGCCTAAACTAAATTGGTTTGGAGGAAAATTTCCAATTAAATCTTGAGAAATATGGGGATTGGGTTCCATTGCCCCTGCTTTATGGATTTTCTAATGGCTTTGGTCCACAAATGTTGGTCCATTCTGTATGATATAAGATTTTAAACTAGCAAATTACTGTAAATATGCCTAGCTGATAACAAATAAGTTCAGTATTTAAAACATTGATTTGAGCTCCAATTGTAGGAATTATTGGTTCCAAATTGAGAGGTTTATTTGGACCCCGTCAAATCATTTTCATCCATAATCCTGAAACAGGAGCTGTAAAACCAAATTCTTTACCCAAAGATGTTTGCTGATATATTTACCAGCACTGGCATCAGCTTTTTTGAGTTCTAGTATTGATGTTGACATATTTGAACCTCTCTTTTAACTAAAATTTTCTTGCAACAAATTGAGAAAATATGGCAGTAACATAATGATAAACTGACAATACATGAAAGAATGCAAGAATTCAAGCAATTGCAGTTAACATATAAGCTTAAATTCAACTCCAGATGGTACATTTTCGTATCTTTCTAGAACAGAGTCCCTTTGGTCCTCAATTATTCTTCATTAAACTTTTTCAATCATTCATGGAAAGGGGATGAGTATTTGATGCCTCCGTCATTAGAGACTTTGATGGATTTAAGAATTGGTCTATAAGGAACTGCCTGATGAAGATTCTGCAACTTTTTCATGAAAAGAAAGAACCTCTGTAGAACAAAAAAGAACAGTCTGAAACTAGATGTTTAGTATATATTTATTAGATTGCCATACATCTGCTGCACAAATCCTACAAATCGAGTAAGTTATATGATTTCTCAACCAATTATCTATGCAATTGAAATTAAAAAAAAAAAAAAACATATTTGCATACAGGAAAAGCATGACACAGCGTCATAATGTTTAAGTTCAAGGACCCATTCATTAGATACGACATATGAAGTCAGCATCAATCTTTTTTATTTAAGTGTGATTGATCACTTAAATGAATTTATGTTTTGAATCTATGTCTTTTAACTAAACTTTACTAAGGATATCCTAAACTTGACTAGAAATCTCTAAAAAAGGGTTTTGGACGAAAAATTATAGCATCCTTACAAAACCTATAAATTGATATCTATTAATTTTAAATTATCTTTAGCCTTGATTAACTTGGTCATAACTTATTCTTATTATTTTATTAATTTATTTGTTGATTTAAATATTTTAATATTTGACATATTTTTAAGTTTTCTTCAACATTTTGGTGGACCTCCTAAAACTATATCTTACTTTAAGAGTATTCAAATAACATACTATTTTTTTTGAAGAGATTTCATCATCAATATTTATAAAATTTAATACATAGTAAAATACATAATTCAATAAACTATAATAAATAAAATACACAATCCAATCATGCAATTAAATAAAATCACAATTTCTTTTCAATTTTATTTTTTCAAATTAAAAATAAATAAAATTTCTTATATTGAGATCAATCTTTAAATCTTCTAATGCTTTGATAGAATTTAGAAAAAAAATTCTTCATCTAAAAATTCTTAAAAAAAATTAGACGTTCGTAACTTTCTTAAAATTTTATCATTAGTTGAATTTGTATTTACTTCTATATATTTACAATAATTAATTATTAAATCATATTTTCCTTTGAAATTTTCATGATCAACAATTAAAATTATAAAAAATTTATCTCACCTAAAAATTTTTAAGAAAATTAGAGACCCGTAATTTTCTTAAAATTTCATTATTAGTTGAATTTTTATTTACTTCTATATGTTTACAATCTTTAATTATTAAATCATATTTTCCTTTGAAATTTTCACGACCAACAATTAAAAATAATTCAAATAATCATGTAAATAAATATACATACAAAATAAAATAAATATAAAATTATAAACGAACAAAAGTACCACACAAGCCCAAAGGTGGAATGGTCTTTACAGAACTAACGGCTCAAACCTTAGGTGAATGGATCCAACCACCTGGTCCAAGTCAAGGTGGAATAATCCTTACACAACTAATGGCCCAAAGCTTAGGTGAATAGATCCAATCACCTGGTCCAAGTCACGTCGGCTTTCAGGATTTACAAAGCTGCTTCCTTTTCCACATTCAACCTCTCCCCATCACAACTTATGACAGCCTCCAATGCAGACATGTCAGAAGCTTCAATCTCCCTCGTGAGATGATAGATATCCATGTGCTCTGGAAATGTCAATCTCCCCCGTGAAATGATGGATATCCATGTGCTCTGGAATTGGAAGTTCAGAGCAAACCTATTGCAGTAAGCAGCGTGGATTTCCCACAACCATCTAATCCCAGCAAGCCATAGCGTCTGCCATAATTAAGCTCCCATACTGAATCAACAATGAGATCATGTCCATGGAAAATCACTGATAACGACACTCTACACGAATATCTCTCGAAAGAGTGCGCCAGCAGAGAACGCTAGTACACGTCCGATAGGAAATCAGGAGTGCACTAACTCCATCGGAACCCTTATCCACTCCGTTCTCTGCGGCCGCCTCCTTGAAAGATGCAGTAGCCGCAGCCACCTTCCCTCCTCTTTTAGCGGCGGCAGCAGCGTTCTTCTGCGTTGCCTTCTTCTTGCTCGCATCCGACACCATCTTCAATTCTGAGGGAAGATCGGAGTAGGTGAAGATGGATCTAGGGCATTGAGGTACGGAGTTTTGGTGCTGCAGTATGACGCTGGAACTGTGCTGCCAAAGCTTCTGCTTCTTTTGTGTTTTTGCTTCTGGCTTGATAATTGCTTCTGTATTGCTTCTATGTCGACTCTTTTCCTTCTTTGATTTCCTGTGTTCTGCATCTGTGTATGAGTTCCAGTTTGTAAAAGTGAGAATGAATCCCAAAGATTTACTGCCCAAAATTTTGCTTTTTATTTGCTCTGTTTGATCACTCTTGTTTGTTTTCCTTCTATTTTCTCCGCTCCCGTTGATGATTACCCAGGTCATTTTTATAGGATTCCAGTCTTTATCTGAGAAGAAGTTCAATTCACAAACATTTGTTTCTTAAAAATTAGATGTCATTGGAACTTTGATTCACAAAGGATTTAATCCTAAAAGACCTCTCTTTGTATCATTTCTTCAATTTTTTTTTTATTTTCCCCTTTTTATTTTCGAAAATATAAAGAAATAAAATAAATATTAAAACATCAAAAAAATGAATTCTTAATTTGGACTCAAGATCCAAACAAGACCTAAATACTTAATCAAGGCCCAAAATAGTCATTCAATCTCAAATGGGCTGTCTAAAAACTTTACAATCCCGTCAACGGACCGATATCCAATTCTCAAACACCCTTTAGCTAATAATCTCGGATAAAATGTGGAATCTACACGTGTAGTGCATCTTCTTCAACATCCTCCAAGCAAGTGGCACATTCATCTGATGTTTTCCTAGACTTCGGTCTTCAAGAAACAGTCTCAAAGAAAGAAAAGAGTAGCAGAAAGAAAAGTTCTCAACATAATGATCCCAATGGTTTTGGTCTTCATGATGGTGGTTCTTCATGGAGTCGCTAGAATAATCACACCCTTTCTGCCCGTGTCTTTGGTCATCTTCTTCAATTATTCAAGAGCCAGCCTTGCCATTACGTGGTGGTGTAGTTGTGCTTGTCATCTCAGGTTGCCGCAAGGATAAAGCAAGATGTTAAGTTGGACTACTGAATGCTTTTTGCTATCATACAAGATTGCATCATTTCTGTTCTGGACAGCAGTTTCCTGTAGGGTTTGGATTGAATGAGTTTAAGTTTACAGGTCCGGGATAACAAAAAATTTTCGGCTACCTTGTTTCCTTGCCGATGAGGCCGTCCGATAACTAGGCGAAGAATCTTAACACTTCTATCCAACATATTATTTACATGACCAATTGGAAATTGTAGATGGCATGTTAAAGGAGAAATTGTTTCATCTGATGAGGATTTTAAGATTCCACAAATGAAGTTAATAGCATAATGCATGTCCTGTAAAATATATTAAAATAAAAAATTAATTAAAATTGAGAAAGTAATTACTTGTTGAGTTAAAAATTTTAACTGAAAATGTGTATAAAAGAATTCATATTAAATTAAGTGGTAAATAAATAAAAAAAAACTAAAATCTCAATGAATACTAGATTAATTAATTAAAATAAGTAAA